CTTCATAATTTATGAAAGTGGGACGGAGAAAAGAGGACTGTTTGGAATGTTTTGCTGGCAAACCTGGCGGCTGTAGTTAATAAACAAGTGCCGCGGAGCGACAGCCGCTCATCTTACTCTACTGCGTGACTCTGTGGTGAGTGGTGGATTTTAGTAAACCCTGTTAGTTTCCAAATGTGTTCACATTACACGCCGAAACAGTGGAATGCACAGGGATGGCCATCAGGAACCTTCTCAAAGAATGTTTCGTTGGGATCGTTATGAAAGTTGCACGAGATGGCGCGTACGTTTAAGTGTCTTCAGATTAAAGATGGAAGCTCCCATAGTACGTTAGTAGCAAAACAACTATCTGCAAGACAGATATAGGTGAGCACTCATCCATTTACCTACGCAAGCACTACAGGCTGCAATAGAGAGCTGGCCACCTGTACCAATTAACGCAGGCAAAAACTCCAAAGTACCACCAACACATGCACTGGCAGTAGCCACTGGCAGTGGCATACGTTACATTTAACATACTGACAGTACAGAATGCCATAGAAATTATACGATTTAAGGAGGAGCATAAACCTTGTTTAACCAAATTTAGCTTTTGAAATTTCACTGTGACATTGTAGCCTCATACATCCAGGCATGTATAGATTCTACTAGCAAACCCGCAGTCAAATTCTTTCTAACAGACAGTCAACAAATCCATTTTAACCCTCCTCTTGAGGGTCAAAAGGTTATCTGACACTTACTCTTGGCATGTCAGCAGAAAGTAGATTTCATGGTCCTTTCAATAATGCCATAAAAATGCTAGGTCACCGCTGAAACAAAAAAGTTTTTCAATCGTTCCGTCAGACCATGTTTTCAGAAAATGTCTAAAATCTGCCCTGTGCCCATTGACCTTTGACCTGTGACCTCCAATTTCCGCACAGTGATGCTTTTCCTACCATGATGCTATACACCGACTATCACGAGCCTAGGTCGACCGTTTAGATTGTGCCGCAATTCTGCATTTCCTCCCTAGATACTTAAAGTTAAGGAGTGAATGTTCCCCTTCTTTTACACCTCTTGACCTTGGCCTTGACCCCCCAGCTTCGACATCCCAACTCGTTTCAGAGATACCCCCCCACGTCCCGCGAATATGCGTGACCATACTTCGAGCGATTAAGATTTGTGCCCAACTGTTGACGGACGCACGGACGGACGCAGCGGACGATCATGCGATTCTACAAGCTGCATCTATAACTATGTCAGATGAGCCTAAAAGAACATGGTAAGCTGTGGTGACTAAAGCAGTAATGCTGTATCCAGCAAGCCACAAACTCAAGATGAGGTGAGTGTATGGGGTGTGTGGCGTGTGAGGTGATGTGGAGTGTAGGTGAGGTGAGGTGAGGTGGGGTGTGTGTGTTCAACTTCATGTCTGCCAGGAAAAAATCAACGCGCTAATCTTTGCCCGATTTGGCTGGTTCCTTAGAGTGTTTACATTACTCACCTTTTTTTGCTCTTGCCATGAAATCAACTAGACCGACCCTACGGAAACATGTTTGTTTTTTCTCTGGCCCTATATGTCCCAAACATTAGCTTTATCATTCAAGATGTTAAATCCACAGTAAATGACAGTGTGGATGTGTGTGTTAACGCGTGCGCGTGTATGATAATGATGGAGACGTACTTAAATGCCTGCTTGTGCGTAGGAACGTAGGTACGCACAATATTGTGAATACGAACTGTTCTTGAATCCGGCCCCAGTGGACATTTCCTTAGATGACTAAACACGCAGTTTGTGTACATTCTATTATGGTAGTGTAGGCCAGCCAACCTTTAAAAAATGCCGTGAGAGTGAGGACACCAGGGAGGACTGTGAGAATTCTGATAGCTCATTAGTACTGTAGTCACTGAATATGTTCTTTGTATTACTGTAAATAAACCATTGTAAAAATGTCAAATTTGAATTTTTTAATTAAAAAAAAATGCTGCGGTATCCGGGGAATGATGCGGGCCTGTAATTTGCTTGGCGGGCCTGTAAAATCCCTCACCTACAGGCCTGGCGGGCCTGTAAATTTTCAAACTAATTTCTATTCCTGGTAACCACACATTTTTGTTTTGGCCTTATGAGCATATTTATATATGAGTAGGGTATGGCCATAATATCAGGATAAGATAATATAGAGGAGTATGACTCTCCAAAACATGTGAATCTTCACTGGTGATATTTAACGATTGGCGATAAGGCTTATCAGTCTTTAGTAGATGCCAAAATATGGGAAGCAATGCAGGTGGCCGTGAACGGTAAAGTGCTGCCACCTTGTGATGTGAACCTTGCAGTTGCACTAACTAGCTATTCTAGCTTGACTGAACCTTGTTCTAAGACTAAATGTTGAAATAATGTCATTATTAGTTCGCCAGACAAAATATAAAACTTCCATTGTATATGCGTCTAAGCACTTCTCCTTTATTGTCATTCTAGCGAACAATAACATAAACAAATTACTTAATTTATAGGCCTACAGACTACAGACAGTGAATACGGTAGGGGGTACCTAACGCACGATTTACCTTTCTTGACGACTTTGAATAGCTTTTTGGCCAATTTCTTTGAAGCTAGAGGCTTAGAAATTATAGAAATGTGTTTGCATCTTTCTTCGTATGATGGCTTTTCATCCGAGCCGTCCCCGATCTGGCTAACTTGACTTGTATCGGCAACATTACCCTCTGATTCAGACTTCCTTCTCTTTTCCTTCTTTTCCTTGGCCATGCTGTATTTTAATGCTCAAGTGTTAAGAAATATAGATCAACACCACTACTATTAATATGTATAATTTTGCATGTACTGCTTCGGATGATCCATAGGATGATCGACGCTCTCGCCAGACTATTCGACGTTTGTCTCCACGTGGTTTTCCCAGTGCTCCACATTTAAACACAAGAACTACAGCAGCAGGAGAGAAAGGTAAAAATGGCGGCCACCGTTGTCTCGGAGTTGTCACATATTCAACAAAATGGAGATCGTACCGACGTTCCACAGGTACAGGTAAATGTAGCCAAAGCATTGTTAACCACATATTTTAGACTATGAGCTTGTGTTTTGTTTTATTTAAAGTTTACGACTCATTTAAATATATCGTGATTGGTGTCAGCCAAAGAGTGAAAGACAGACTGAGACTCGAGACTGGACCGGCGGAACCACGGCACAGCCACAGGCACTTGACTTGGAACGTTTCAATAATAAATAAACACGAAATGTATTTATTACCAAAGGCCCAATGTTTTTCCACTTTCTTACTCCTATTATTAGTAATAACTTTCTGTAAATGCCGTTCAAATGCCCCTCTGCAACACACACAAGTTCACCGCATGAATGCCGCTTTGCTGCACAAACAACAAAATTGTAGATCATCTGGAAAAGCGTGGCTGCAAAATTCGCGTAACGCTCGCTTCGTTTCACACAATCACGACACAAATACACAACCAACGGCCCAAGGATAGAGAACATGAGTCCCAATAAAACCAATGTGCCTAACCCTAACCCTAATTCTAACCCTAACCCTAAACCTAACCCTAACCATAACCCTAACCTATTATATTGATATAATATTATATTTATATTGATGTAAATGACATTGGTTTTATTGGGGGACATAGACCCTATGAGCCTAACTGGCAGTGGCACTGCTTTAACTGCACTAACTAACTAACTAACCTAGAGATATCTGGTGAATTCCTGGAGAAAACTCCCACTTCGCCAAAATGTAAATGGGAGCAAGTATCATGTAAGAAATGGCACCGCATTGCATTCTGGCCTCAAGCATCCCTGCGTCCGAGCTTGCCATGTCAAGCTAGCATGATTTGCGCGAGAATGACGTCACACACACGACTGTTTATTTGACAAACAATCGAGTAGGCCTAGTGTGGTTAGAGAGTTTCGGATGATAAACAGGCACTTGGTCCCATTTTGTAGTGAGAGTTTTCTAATAGAATCATTAGTCTAGTTATGTAGACTGTCCCTGTATTCCACTGCACAATACGTAAATAAAGATTTTGCGGCACATGTCGGAGCTAAAATGTTTACGTCATGTTGTTGTCGCGTGTTTCAGACTGGATCGGGCGAGCCGGCAGTGCAGACGTGGATGAAGATGGACATTCCAGCACCAGGTGAGTTGGTGTGTTATGCTGTGCAAGAAATCGTCTGAAAATGAAACACATCCTTCCGCTGCTGCTGCTGCTGCCGCCGCTGCTGCTGTTGCTCATGTTGCTGCTGGTGGTCTTGCTGATGAAGCTTCCGTAATGATGCTATGCGTATTCCCATCACCTATAAATGTAACAACGGAAATTATGAGAATCTTAAAAAGATGCCTGGTTTCTCTTTGTTAAAATAGATGCAGGACCGTCTACTTGCGATGCATCGTTTCCGTGGCGACCGCCGTCTATTGGACGCACGTGATACATACGAGAAGCACTGAACTTTGTTTCAGGTTCACGCAAATCCTCGTTTTGGCGTTTGTTCTCGTTATTCTGCAACATTCGCTCACTGTTCCACACCTTTGGATGAAGTAATGGTTTTCTTGAACCTTTCAGATACGTGCTCCAGCGAGCCAGTGAAACCGTACTCTAGCTTTCTTTTCTCTCAGACGGGTTTCCTTCCACAGATGTCTCGTGTTTTCTGTCTACAGGTCTAAGTTATATACACTGCCTAGGTAGCAGAGTTTAAGAATTAGTGGGTAAACATCCTATTGCATCGCAATAGGTTTGACGGTTAGTGATATAATACTAATAGTTCCCAAAGTCTCATCAACTCAAACTCGAATGAATCCATGCAATTATTGTTGCTTCTATTCTAAGAAACTGATATATGGAAAATGTCGAGAACCAAGTAGAATAAAAATGCGCAACACAAACTGAGGGAAACGCGTTGCGGCGATGGCCGAACGTTAAATGTAGCAGTGTGAGAGAAACACGGGACTGTGTTTGTGTCGTAAATCCTGGCAGCTGCAACCTGCTAGACAGGTACCTTGTGTGCGTGAGGGCGTGTGTTATAGAAGTTGTCTGCGCATGTGCGTGTGTGCGTTACAGGTACTGCACTGTGTGTGTGTGTGTGTGTGTGTGCGTGCGTGCGTGCATGGATGTGTGTGTGTGTGCGTGCGAGCGCGTGTATGTGCGTGTGTGCGTGTGTGTGCATACCCTCTCTTTTTCTGTGTTTTACAGATCGACTTGATTCACGCGTGAACAGCCGTGCAAACAGACTAGCTGGTCACTAGAACTGACTCGATGACGCCACAGTCACCATCTGCTAAACACATGATTGCGAGCAACATGATGTGACTTGATGTAACATGATACATGATGATGTGGCACAATACAAAACATGACACGTGATGTGACATGAAGTGATATTACGTGACACGACGTGGCACGTCATGGGGCTTGAGACGCGACACGAAACAACATACATGATGCTGCACGACCGGACGTGATGTGATTTTGCGTTGCAATTCTCTTTGGGTCTTGAACGTGTCAATAATTCAGATGATCAGTATATCAGTAAACAACAGCTACAGTTGCTCTCATTACGTTGCACGTTGTTCGTGAGACTGTTGGACTGAATCAAGCATGCTTACATCGTCGCGTTTTATCAGCACGTGGTCCGCAGACCGCCCGTCGGCAGCCGATCGATTTTCATTGTGGGTTCCCGTCTTTTTTGTGTGTTTTTCAGATTCTAAGAAAATGCGATGTGGGTCGCGCGCGTCCGGGCGGTGACGACTGTGTTCCCCCCTCACACACAGCGTCGTGTGTGGCGAGTGGTGTTAGGGGCGACTTGTGGCCAATGCCATACCAGAGAACGTGTGTAGTCACAGCACCCATTATCAATACAGAACCATTCTTACGATACTACTACTAGAAGTAACACTAAGGGCCACTGTGGTCGATAGCAGTTGCTACTAGTGAAGCAAGGTTTTTGATTCAGGTGCAACAATAACCAAGTTCTGTCGGGGTGCGAACATCCGGTGTATTTATGCAGTGAGCGTGGTGGGCTTTCATGTGCAACTCTTGTGTGGTTGGTTTGAGCGTGATCGTTATCGGCCGCCGCCTCCCTCATGCGCCACCTTAGGGTGTTCTGTGTTTTTTCGTGTCATTTCAGGTGGCATTGTAAGACTTGCTGGGCATTGTAGCTCTGAGGGTCACGGGGCTGTGCACGATCGGCCCCCTCGCTGCGTGGCATACTACTTTCTGGATGCCGGCGTCGTCGCTTAGTCGGTCGACAGTGTGTTTGTTGTGGTGTTTGCGAGATTTGTCTTGGCGAGCGCGTGTTGGGTCGGGAGTCTCGATGCAGGAAGTGGGGCAACGATGGAGAAAGGGGGAAGTCTCACGTACGTGGCGTGACATGGGATCGAATTTCGCTGCGGCGCTCATGGTTTCTTTCCTTACTTTCCGTGCAGGTGTCCACGAAAATGTATGGGCGAAAATTATTTTACGATATATCTATGGTACACCATCGTGGCTGTCTCATCTGATTTGCCTCCGTGGCCCTCCCACGAATGCAATGTTGCAACTGTATTTCTATTTGTATCGATGTGAAAAAGCTTATGTAGCTGACTCTCCTTTGAAGGGAAATCTTTGTCTTGGTACTGTGGTACCTGTCCAAATTGTAGTGCCTTAAAATTTCTAATTGAACCCAGGGCAAAGCCCTAAAATAATAGTTTTAATAATAATACTGAGTTAACAAGTTTCCAATGTCACACACAGCCACGGTGGTGGTGTCACCTCACTCGAACGCGACCCTATAACCGTGGGTGTGATGTGTCAGGTGTCCCACTTTTGTATCGAGACTCCACGCGAGGATGCATACCCCCACGTAGCATCGCATCGCTGCCTATTGCTGCCTTCATCTATATCAGCAAAATGCTGCACATTGCTTGTTACATGTCGCAATGTCTTCTGTCATCAACATGATGCAGATATTGGCCCGGAGGAGGTGGTACCCAGACGTGCATTAGATGTAGGGGGAGTAGTGTGCGTATCTGTGTGTGTGTGTGTGCATATCTGGCTGTGCGTGTGGCTGTGTGTGCGTGCGTGTAGCTGTGTGTGTGTGTGCGTGCGTGTAGCTGTGTGTGTGTGTGCGTGCGTGTAGCTGTGTGTGTGTGTGCGTGCGTGTAGCTGTGTGTGTGTGCGTGCGTGTAGCTGTGTGTGTGTGTGCGTGTAGCTGTGTGTGGGTGCGTGCGTGTAGCTGCGTGTGTGCATGCATGTGGCTGTGCGTGTGTGCGTTCAGGCGTGTGTTAGCAGCTAACTTCTGCGCTGCGGTTGCCAGTTAAGTACAACGGGTAGCGGGAGAAGCGACGGGTAGGTATATACATCTATCAACGCGTGAGAACACTTTCGTCACATTCGCTCGTGCGTTTTCCCCGTGCCAACATGATATGATGTGCTCTTCTTTTTCTCTTTTTTGTGTATTTTTGATGACATTTAGTTGCAAGGCTAATGGCAGCGCACACCGGTCTCACAGTGTCATAGTGAAAAGCTGTACTGTAGCGGCGGGCGGGCGGGCGGTCCGCCAGGGAGCATGTAGTCTTGCCCGTCCCCGCATGTCCGCTATCGGGCGGCCCGACACACGCACGCCGGCCCGGCAGAGGCTCCTAAAGGTTTAGTACCTCATCTCTGTCATGTTTATCCACCGCGATCGTCGCCACGACCTGCCACTAGTTACCACGGCCTGCTGTCGCTGGACGCCGGTTGCGGTTGGTAGGTGGCGCCGGTAGCGTCGACCGCGCGGCGTCCGGCGTTGGACGACGGACGTAAACTCTCGTTGCATGTTGCGATTGCAGGCGGGGCGTGATGCGTAAGCGCTCTCGCATCAGCTCCCGTTTGTAGTCGTGGAGAATGAATATGCATTGCTGGAAATTCTGACTAGTGTGTGCGAAAAATCTTACGCGCAAGCTGTGGTGGCCGGTTGCGTCGAACCCCGACGGTGTCAGTAAATCGGCTTTGTTGGTGACACCGTCCGTGCCCTATCACCGGACAAAGGTGCCCGCACACGAGTGTCTGTAACATAGCGGCACCTCCGCCGCTTCTCTGCAGTGCAGTAGTCGCTTCCCGCAGTTTTCAGGGCATTTGGTAGCCATGGGAGACTACCTTCTGGGCGTATGCTGTAGGTTCGCGTGCATGCATATTTGCGTGCATGAGTGAGTGTGTGTGGAGTGAGACGACCACGTTAAAGCCGAGGTAGCAGATTGGGTGGCGAAGCGAGTAGGCATGTGCATCTATCCTAGAAGCCAGTAGGAACTGTTTAAGGAGTGGAGGGAGCTTATGGGGGCAGAGGGAGCCTATACAGGTGGAGGAATTCTATAGCGGTGGAGGTAGCATATAAGGGTAGAGGGATCCTATAGGGTTGGCAGGAGCCTGTAGGTGTGGAGGGAGGCTTGAAGAAGCCGATGTGGGTGGAGAGAGGAATGAGGGAGGCTTGAAAGAGCCTCCAGCCTGGGTCGTCGTTGTCGTGGCGTTGTTCTCATCTGTGTGTGTGTGTTTCAGGACCTCCTCCCATGCATGGAGCGTTTCATCCGCACTCCCCCATGCCAGAGCAGGAGCAGATCGGCCCGGTAAGTCTCCGCATGTGTTTCTTTTTTGCCGCGTGCCCACTGGGCGGGTATGAAGAGATTCACAGTTTTCACTGGCAGGTGCCGCCGCATGCAGGCTCTCTTCTTGGCACCGTTTCCACACTCCATCTCTTTTTGCTGAGTGCTAAGCAGAGAACATGAGCTCCGCATTCGTTACGTAGCAGTAATGCAAGTGCAGGATTACAGGATTACAGGCTTTCTTACTCACTGCGGCATGCCTGAAAACCATGTGTGCGGCAGTAACCCACAGCTGGTTTGTTGTTGTTTTTCCTGATTTGTTTCCATGAATGCCATGTTGTGTATGTATCATTGTCTATATTACATAAAAAATGTTAAGCGCAGTATGTTGCGTTGGTGACCCTTGAGCATGCATTTGGGAAATTCTGATGAAACCCAAAGCAACACTTGCGTTGCCTTGAAAAATTACAGTTGTGTCCGTGATGTTCAAACAATCGACTATTAACTGGCTCTGCGGCTGTTGTCACTGCTCATTCCACCTGTCACCACCATGTCTTTCTTTGCAGGGATTGTCACTTGTCACCCCCACGTCTCTCATTACAGGTGTTGTCACCTTGTCAAGCCCATGTCTCTCGTTACAGGTATTGTCACCTGTCACCCCTTCATCTGTGATTACCAGTGTCACCTGTCACCCCCCACGTGTCTCGTTACAGGTGCTCGCCGGGCCTGGAGCGCAGCGGGATCTGCCGCTGCTCACAGCACCCCCGAAGCTGAGCGCCGAGCAGCTCGAGAGCGTGAAGAAAGCGAAGAAGTATTCGATGGAGCAGAGCGTGAAGAACGTGCTCATTAAGCAGACACTCGCTCATCAGCAGCAGGTGCGGAAGCAGCGACGGCCGCTGCTAATTACCGTCTTATCTATACTATACTATACTCTATCTTATTTTCTATCGTGGTATAATAGTTATGTAAATATATAGCATATATATATATATTATATTTATATAACTATTATATTATATATATATATATATATAATAGTTATGTAATAGTAATATCAGGACCGCCGGCGCATCCGCCGTACGAGCGTTGTACGAGCAACCTCGCGTGTATAAACCGTATAGTCTGTCACGAGAAAAACGCTTAATAAATGGCCGTATATAAAAACTGTTTTAACATTAATGCCTAGCATGATGATCTATTGCTGTTCAGTGATTCACACAAATGTTGTCAGGCGACATTTGCACATCTATCGTGATCATATAGGTGTAATATACCTAATACAGTTTTGTTTTTTCCATTATTCTAGCAAATGAAGACAATCCAGCGACAACAGGCATTAGTTCTTGCCTGCAGGTTTGTGCCTCTTATTTACTATCCCAATATAATAGCTAAAATAATAGTTTAATAAATAAATAAACGTATATACAGCGAACACCCTGCCAGTGTGTATGTGTGCAGCAGTGTTAACCTTGCATCTGTATGCTTGCAGGGTGTATGTGGGCAGCATAAGCTTTGAGCTGAAGGAGGATACGATCAGGCAGGCATTCCAGCCGTTCGGTCCCATCAAGTCTGTGAACATGTCTTGGGATCCCGTGACGATGAAGCACAAGGGCTTCGCGTTCGTTGAGTACGACATCCCGGAGGCTGCGCAGCTCGCCCTGGAGCAGATGAACGGGGTCATGATCGGCGGTCGCAACATCAAGGTGAGAAAGACGTTCCCTTGTTTGCTCGGCCGCGCCGCGTTCTTTCCACGTCACGCACGATTCGTCGTCGCCGCCATTACTTTCTCTTGACTTTATTTATTTGTTTGCTTGTTTATATTAGTATAATTAATGTTTATTATTATTACCTTTTTTATCCTATTACTCGTTCATTACTTCCTATTGATTTATAATGACTATGCATGTAGATTTGTAGTTAGTACGTTAGTGTGTGGTTACCTAAAGTTAGACTTGTATATATGTATATTACGATAATATGCGGATCACTCGAGGAATGCCCCTAAATGCCCTTTATAGGCAGGTGTTCTTTCTGTAGAGGTGGCTCATTACAATGGTTTGACTGAATGGTGTGTTTATGGTGGTGACACTGTCAGAAAGAGAGAAGAGTGAACGTAAGTTAGATTATTAGAGTTTCTGAGCACAGCCGGCTAGGAGCTAACATACCGTGGCGTTACCCCGCTACAGGTGGGTCGTCCCAGCAACATGCCTCAGGCGCAGCCGATCATCGAGACGCTCATGGAAGAGGCTAAGCAGTATAACCGGATCTACATCGCGTCGATACATCAGGACCTCACTGAGAAGGATGTTCAGAGGTAGGCGCCCCCGTGTGTCGCCCGCGGTTGTACCATGATATGGGGTGGGGGGATAATGCTTGGTGTACGGGGCTCGAGTTTCACCGTGGCACCGACAGCAATTGCCATGCTGACCATCCCTACTAGGTTTACGAAAACATTTTACAACACGACACTGTAATTTGCCAATTTCATTATACAATCGTAATTTTGTGAGCAGTTAAATCATTCGCCAATTGTATTCGCCACTTAGTGTAGTAAAATCGCCACGGTTATATATTTATCGCATTTTGCGAATGTAGCGAACGCCAGCGGTAGCTCTTGGTGTAAGCAGACAGAAGAATGGTTCTAGGTTCTCACTAGGCAAGCGTGCCACATCATCACGTTGTCCGGTGTCGCGTGGTCGGCTTATATAACGTCGCATTTGCTGAATGTCGCCGCTTAACGTCATTTTTGTCTTTGATCGCAGCGTATTCGAGGCGTTTGGGAAGATCGTATCCTGTGAGCTGGCAGCTGACACAATCCCCGGTCGACATCGGTGAGTATAGCAGCATTACCGTTATAGAAACATCTGCAGAGAGTGAGGGAGAGAGCAAGGCAGAGAGGGTGATAGAGAGAGATAGAGAGAGAGAGAAAGAGTAAGTGTGCTAAAGAGAAGGGGGGAAGCAAGAGAGAGAGAGATAGAGAGAGAGAGAGAGAGAAAGAGCGAGAGAGCAACAGAGAAGTGTAATTATCCCCATTCAAGCGTGCATGCATGAATTATGTATTTTTGCGTCGTCATGCTGTGTTGATTCGCACACGTTGTTGCGTTGGTTACTGACGGCTGCTTCGCTTCCTGCAGTGGCTATGGCTTCATTGAATACGACTCTCCACAATCCGCACAGGATGCCATCATCTCCATGAACCTGTTTGACCTTGGAGGACAATATTTACGCGTGGGCAGGGTAGGTGTTTAAAGTTTCACCGGCCAAACACGAAATGATTCCTTGTTCACATAATATGGTATCTGATTGGAAAATACTTCCAACGGTGTTCACCAATGACCTGTGTCTCCCAGGAGACTGAAAGGTCTAAGAAGAAGAAGATGCCCGTCTTGGTGAGCCGTCATTACTGTAATTTAATGAGTGAACTGTTAGCAAGGAAATTACAAACATAAGAACGTGGTACACCTGGTAAACTCAGTGGTAGGAATTGATGACTGCAGCGATTACATGGGTTCAATGACCGTAAATTCGATTATTTCAACATCGCAGTAGCAGTAGCACCTTGCTAGTTCATCGCTAACCTGATAGCTTGATGGCATCAAGTGGTAAGCTGATTGAACCTACTTGTATTAGGGACAGCACATCCACATCTCGTAGAGACAGTTCAGGCATCTGCTTTACGCGTGTAGTAATAAGGTTTTGCTGTGTGTGTATGTGTGGTGAATGAGTACGTGTACAACACGTTATACACCATGTTATACACCGTGTAGGTAGTAATAAGGTTTTGCTGTGTGTGTATGAGTGGTGAGTGAGTACGTGTACAACACGTTGCTGTGCTGCAGGCTATCACGGCTCCGGACGCGTCAGCCACCCCGATGCTTCCTGGCATCATGCCAACAGCAGCAGCAGTCGCAGCGGCCTCGGCGACGGCCAAGATCCAAGCGATGGAAGCCGTCACCAGCAACGTGCAGGTACACATACAGTTACATTCGTATTACTGGACGCGGGACGCTTGTCGCACCATCGCGCGAATTTCGTACACTGCACGTGCGTCCGGCATTCCTCTTGGAAGAGTATGCGCATTGAATAATATGCATATTATCAGGGGTTAATAATGACAAAGGCGTTTGACACGTATTCGGTACTGATTTCACTACATTTTGTTTTAACGAGTTCGATGTGAATAAAAATAAAAATGTATACAAACATGAGCTTCTTTTGTTCACCGGTCATTATTCTAGCTTCCGGTAGTATTACAAACCGCGTAGCTTCCTTCGTTTTGACATAAATCGTACCTTTGCACGACATGGTTTTCACGTTATTTACCTTTGTGTGGCGTTGCCAAGCCACAAATTCTCATGCAGAGCAACTCGAAGGAGGCGCGGCAGGGAATTTAGGCCGTATAGTCTAGCCGAGTGCGGAAAATGCGCTTAGAAATTAAGTTTCGATGTGCCCATGCTGGGTTAAATAATTAAAACTATTTCACAATTAAACTATAGTTAGAATGTCTTGTTTTTATGGTTGAATCCAGCAGTTTTTTCTTAAACTAAACGCTGCGCTGGTGAAATATCTGAACTACTTCACCCGCGGAGGAATGATGTATATGAATCTTAGCGAGTAAATTGACACTCCAGCTGATTGTAGCTTTTCGCACATGTGTTTTGCATAGCAACCGTTACTATGCAATTGCAGGCAAACGCATGTGTTTACACCTTACTTATCATCACCAATAGTATGTGATAAAGGCGAGAGTTAACGTCGTCATCATCCGGCTTTGCTAGCCGAACAAAAACTTCTTCGTGAGATAACATACGGGAGACACGATCCTTGCCGCGCCTCCTTCGAGTTGCTGTTGCATGAGAATTTGTGGCTTGGCAACACCACACGACAGTAAATAATGTGGAAACCATGTTGTGCAAAAGTATGATTTGTATCAAAACGAAGGAAGCTACGCGGTTTGTAATACTACCGGAAGCTAGAATAAGGACCAGTGAACAAAAGAAGGTCATGTTTGTATACATTTTTATTTTTATTCACATCGAACTCGTACGACAAAATGTAGTGAAATCGGTACCGAATACGTGTCAAAGTCCTTTGTCATTATTAACCCCTGATAGTATATACATTTTATTTATATATGGCATAATATACATATGTATGTATTACAGTAGTTTTATTGACGACGATTGAGCAGGCCATCTTTTTTGGGTAGGTGAAAGCCGTTGATTCTGCGAGAAAATTAAAAAGCCGTACGAAGAGACGCTTA